GGGGCACCCCCGCCCCCCGGCTCCCCTCGTGAACCTGGTGCTGCCCGCCGCGGCTTCTCGGGAGCGGCGGAGCTGGGTGACTCCAGGATCTCGGCTTCAGGAGGGGTCTCTTCCTGTGCCAGGTGGGAAGAAGGCAGTGCTGTCCATCCCACCCTGCCTAGGGGAGCCCCCCTCCAACCCCCTGTTTTCCCAAGGCCTCTCTGGGGTCTTGAACCAGGGAGGGGTGACTTCGCTACCCCTTCATCTCCCCGGCATCGCCAGCCACTGCCCGGGGGGCCATCGGCGCAGCATCTGCCCAGATGGTGCAGGTCTCGGAGCTCACGTTGAGGTGACCACGAGCCAGGAGAACCAACCCCAGCATTAGGAGGCAGGGGGAGTGGCAGATACGGGTCCCGCTGGAGGACCCGGAATAGGTGATGGGTGAACGCGTGTGGGATCTGCCCTCCCCAGGACAGCGTCTCCTCCTGGGCCTCCTCACCTGGATGTGCGGCTTGTTCTGGAGCTCCATGGGCTCAAGGAAGTTACAGGGGACGATCCCTTTCTGCGGGGGAAGGAGAGACAAGCGAGGATTCCTTGGCAAGGAGGCAACGTGCTGCTGGAGGACGCTGCTGAGCTCGTCCTCACCCTGCCCTGAATCCCGGAGGGTCCCTGAGGCTTGAAGGTTGGGTGCTGCAGGTTGGATGCGTTTCCGTGAACCCCATGGCCTAAGCCAGGGACTTGAGTCAGAAACTCCTTTGGTTGCTGGTAGCAAGGCTTGGCTCTCCAAGTCCTCTGCAGAACCCCACAGCATCCATCCCATCGTCCACCCCCTCCTGCCAAGCCCGCCCCTGGTACCTTTCCATTGAACATCACCGTAGCCCAGTTGTCCTTCTCTTTCTTCAGGACAAAGACGATGTTTCCCGGCAGGACTGGCAGCTCCTCAGCAGTCTCGGGGATGAACTCGTAGAGGACGCGGTGCGGCTGCCCTTCGAGGGCCCTGGGTGCGGGAGCAGCAGCCGGGTCAGGAATGTGGGCGACGTCATCATCGTACAATGGAGGGGGAACCCCAACCCCTGCCTCTGTGTTTCTACAATCCTCCCCCGGCCCCCCAGTTCGGGGTGCCGGTGGAGACTCGGCTGCGACGGGGCTGGACCCGGCTGCCCATCCTTCACCCAGCTAGCAGGCATGGTGGTGTTGGGGTGACGGCTGAGCTTGACGATCTTAGAGGTCTTTTCCAACCTTCATGATTCTACGAACTCACCTGAGGATTTCTGGGGTCTTGGGCCTGGGCGGAGGGCCAGAGGTCTGCCAAAAAGAAGAGAGAAAGAAAATTATCAGTAATCGGGACGGTTTCGGTTGCTCTGCAGAAATGTCCTGTAGCCTTCTGCCATGCCTGCCGTCACCCCTGCGTGGTTCCTTCCTCCCCGGGCTGGCGTCAGGTCGGACGATTTGAACCTAAAAATGAGTTTTTTGCTGCTTGGCAGCTGGCTGCGGCAGGGTGTCGGGTCCCT